CTCACACCTGTTGTAATCCCAACACTTTGGGAGGCTGAGGCAGATGGATCACGAGGTCAAGAGATCGAGACCATTGTGGCCAACGTGGTAAAACCCTATCTCTACTAAAAATACAAAAATTAGCTGGGTGTGGTGGTATGCCTGTAGTCCCAGCTACTCGGGAGGCAAAGGCAGGAGAATTGCTTGAACCCAGGAGGTGGAGGTTGCAGTGAGACCTCCACTTAGATTGCACCACTGCACTCTAGCCTGGTAACAGAGTGAGACTCCATCTCAAAAAAGAAAAAAAAAAAGAAAAAAAGATATAAAGCTCTGTCTCAGAATTTTCTCAGACAACATTTCTATAAGGTAGAAGTTTGTAACATTAAGAAGATGGTGCCCCTTTAGAAAGAGTCCCTTTGATTTCCTAAGAAGAAAAGGGTCTCTTAGGTTCCCTAAGGAGGAAAGCACACCAGAACAGCCACTTGACCAAGTTTTGTACTTGCCCCTGTGAAATACTGATGGTAGCACAGTAATATTCTTCCTTCATCCATTCAAGAAATATTTCATCACTTTTGGGCCTGGCTTGGTGACTCACACCTGTATTCCCAGCACTTTGGAGGCTGAGGTGGGTAGATCACCTGAGGTCAGTTCAAGACCAGCCTGGCCTGGTGAAACCCCATCTCTACTAAAAATACAAAAAACTAGCTGGGCATGATGGTGTAATCCTAGCTACTCAAGAGGCTGAGGCAGGAGAATCACTTGAACCTGGGAGGCGGAGGTTGCAGTCAGCCAAGATCGCACCACTGCATTCCTGCCTGGGTGACAGAGTGAGACTCCATGTCCCAAAAAAAAAAAAAAAAAAAAACAAAAAATTTTTTTTTAATCACTTTAGGTAAATAATCCCACACTTTTTGCTTTTCAGATGTGTCTTTGTGTAGGGGTGTGGAGGGGTAAGGACTCTCTAACTGGTATCATGGGAAAGTCAGGAATAGGAACTGTTTTTTTTAAGGAATAGGAATATTTTAAGAGGCCATCCAGACAAACAGGCCAAACAAAAGGAGAGAATCACCCATTATTTAGAGGACACAGTAGGGAAGGAAGCTTGAGTTACCATATCATTAGAATAGCTTCTCCAGGAGAAACTGCCATCTGAAATAAAGTTTTCTTTATGACAAAACAAACAAAAAAAGAAGTGTGAATGACAGGACTTGTTTAGGGAAAGTGCCTCTTTCCCTGTTAGGCTCATCACTAGAAATTTAGCTGAGGGGCATTGTGCCGGCTGCGGCCATGCTCTCTAACAAACAGAACCTGCTCTCTAACAAACAGAACAACCGTAATGAGATGTTCAGCACTTCAGTGGAAGCATCTCTTCCTGCTATAGTTTAAAGCTATTCTTGGTTCACCAAAAGGCCGGAATGCCACAGGGATTAATGATATTTGATTGAACATCATCCACTCAGCAGTTTGCTTTTGGGATGGGCCTTATGTTCTTATGAGTAATTTCCTGGTACCAGGCACATAAGATTTTAAAAATATTATTATTATTATTATTATTTTGATATGGAGTTTTGCACTGTCGCCCAGGCTGGAGTGCAGTGGCGTGATCTTGGCTCACTGCAGTCTTTGCCTCCTGGGTTCAAGCGATTCTCCTCCCTCAGCCTCCCGAGTAGGTGGGATTACAGGCGTCTGCCACCACACCTGGCTAATTTTTGTAGTTTTTTTAGTAGAGATGGGGTTTTACCATCTTGGCTGGGCTGGTCTTGAGCTCCTGACTTCATGATCCACCTGCCCCGGTCTCCCAAAATGTTGGGATTATAGGCGTGAGCCACTGCGCCCAGCCAGGATTTTAAAATTTTAAATTTTTCCTATATATGATACCAGAGTTTTAATCAAATTTCTTTTTTTTTTTTTAATTTAATTTTATTTTTTAAGACGAGGTTTCACCTTGTTGGTCAGGCTGGTTTCGAACTCCTGACCTCAGGTAATCCATCCGCCTTGGCTTCCCAAAGTGCTGGGATTACAGGCGTGAGCCACCGTGCCCGGCCTTAATCAAATTTGATAAAGTATTAATGTGCACATAAGTGTGGTTTTTGTTTATAGCTTAACAAATTTTTTTCTGTCTCTAAGAAGACTACTCTGTCATCTAGAAAGTTGATCAAAATTGAGATGAGGTCGATTTTTTTTTTTCTTTTTAGAAGATGTAGCTAACATATATTTTCTAATATTATCCTCATGTATCCCTAAGAGGTTGATGTCATTATTATATCCATTTTTAAAGATGTGAAAATTAAGGCTCAAAAATGATAAGTAACTCTCAAGGTCACATACCTAGTAAGTAGTAGAGCTGGAGTTGAAATCCAGGCAATTTGGCTCCAAAGTCCATAGTTTTTCCCACTTTTTTTTTTTTTTTTTTTTTTTTGAGACAGAGTCTCACTATGTCACTCAGACTTGTAGTGCAGTGGTGTGATCAAGGCTCAGTACAGCCTTAACCTCTTAGGCTCAAGCTGTCCTCTTGCTTCATTCTCCTGAGTAGCTGGGACTATGGGCATATGCCACCGCACCCAGCTAATTTCTTAAATTTTTAGTAGAGATGTGGTCCCACTATGTTGCCCAGGCTAGTCTTGAACTCCTGAGCTCAAAACAGTCTTCCTACTTCAGCCTCCCAAAGTGTTGGTTGTACAGGCATGAGCTACTGTGCCCAGCCTTATACTTTTCTTACAATTAATTACCCCATATAGTATAATTACCTCTTATAAAAGTTGTTAATTTTGCCATGAGCTTTTTATTAGAAATTTATGGTTTGATCAACTTGATATGATTTCAAATGGTCACTAAAATGTATGCTTTTTACATTAAATAGGAGTGTAAATCTTTCTTTTATTCAGTTTTAATCCATGTTAACCTGTGATTATAAATCCTCATTGTATTATAGAACTTGACAAATGTCTGCTTGTTCTGGATATTAGACAAAGTATGAAAATCTGATTTTATTTCAGATCTTTTTATACCTCTGACAGCGGGCTAGATTGGATAGTTTTCAAACATTTGCAATCATAGTAGTATTTTGTTTTTAAGAGTCTAATGATAAGTAATGATAAATATGAGTCTAACGATAAATAACGATAAAAATAAATAAGTTAATATTTGTTCATTGTGCCACCACTCCAAAGTGGGATATAGCATTGATCATGGCTATAGGTCTTTTGTTTTAAGATGGTTGATTTATTGTTATAGCTAATGTATAGCCTGGACTTCCCAGTCTTGATTTAAAATAAATTGATGTCCTCTAAACTGTGAAAATGCTCTGGAAATTCACATTTTTAATACTTTCTGTTTTGCTGAGTGAGCATTGAAAATGGATGTTTGTGATATTCCTTTTGTTAGCAGTTAAATTCAGCCTTTATATATTTATTTCATTCAACAAATATTTACTGCCAGCTTACTGTGTGCCAGCCCAAAGCCTCCAGCAGTTGCTAGGAAGGAGTCTGCACGCCGTCACGATTCTTCCATTAAAAAGAAGAAACACATGGCTCTCTCCTCTTATGATTCCATAGATCTTTGCCTAAACCTAAGCGAGAGTAGTTATTACAACATGCTTGGTCTTGTCATTTTGTGTGTTTTGTATCTGTACCAGTTTGTAAGTTTCCTGGAAATAAGGACTATGACTTATTAAGGTTTGTTCTTTTCATGTCTTGAATGTTCGGCTTTATTTGTCCTAAATGTTCGGCTAATGCTGGCTCATTGTTAAAATTAGAGATTGAAGCATGAGTGAAAAGATCAGAACGTCTACTCCATGAGAACAGGGACTTCTGTGTTGTTTACTGCTATGTCCCAGGGCCTAGTACGTTGATGAATGAGCTCAAATAAACTGAGATTTAGACTTGGATTGAGTCTACCTAGGGACCGTCGTTGATGGCATTTATTTATTTAATATTTCATTTAGGAAGTTAGTAAGTGTTTCTGGAGTATTACCTTACATTACAGACTGTGTTTCGGCACTGGAGATACAAGCCTTAGACAAAACCAATCTTTGTGTCAGAAGACTAGATGTGTAAAGGAAAGGTGGATTTCTAATGAGTGACAGCCACAGTATGGGGAGGTAGATAGAGCAAGAGCATCTTTGTACCTGCTGTTTCTCTACATCATCTGCAAGTTGGAACTCAGAAACTAAGAGTAGATGGTGGGATAGAAGCCATAGCAGGAATGCCTGGGCTTCTTTGCAAGGTAGGAAGGGGTCCATGGTGCCAGACACTGCATAGGTTTAAAGGGATGCAGGATGAGAAAAGTTGATTCGCTTTGACAAGAGACAAGTCTGGTCCTAAAGGGAATATATAGATGAACCTGCATCTTTATTCAAATGCACTGAAAAACTAACATACTGTTACAGACTTATTTTCCTTAAAAAGCTCTTAAATTTTAGGCACTTTAAATGTTTTTTAGTAAAATTAGCACAGTCGAAAAACTTAAGAGATGCTAAAAAGAAAGAACATAATCGTATGACCTTAGGCTGCTTGAGACAAGAGTAAAAAGGGTTCTCCTGGCTGGGTTGGAGTCTTGGCTTCAAAACCTGCTGGCTCAGTGTGATGAACACCTTTACTTGATATTTCTGTGCCTCAGTTTCTTCATCTGTGAAATAGGGTGATGATAGCTCCTACATAAGATTAAATGAGAGAATACTTTCTCCATAGGATTAAGTAAGATAATGATTGCATGGAATGTCCTGAGCCCTGGGCCAGGCCAAACGTTCACTAAATGTTTGCTTTTTAGGGATATAGGATCCTATTCCTATCTTTGCCAAATCTGCCTTGCCTGCCTCCCTCTCCCAGAGTAGACAGAATGGGGGTTGGGATAGGGTGGGCTTGGATGAGAACAAATTCCTATGCCTACTGAAATGATGGAGTCTCAGTGCCCCTTTCCCGACTCTTCCGTGAGAGAAAGTCAATGCAAAGCTTGCCTTTCATTTATTTGTTTCCTGTCTGTTATTTGGTGCAGTTAACTAACTAAAATTGTTGTTGTTTTAGCTGCACGAAAGCGGTTATGATGCCGGCAAAGCCCTGCAGCGCCTGGTGAAGAAGCCCGTGCCCAAGCTCATCGAGAAGTGCTGGACCGAGGATGAAGTGGTGAGCGGGAACCAGCCTTTGCCTTTTGCTCTGGGGCATTGGGGCGCCGGCTTCTCAGTGTGTGACCTCCCTGCTACTCAGGGAAAGGGGCTGAAGCAGAAGCTTCAGTCATGCAGAATGGCTGTCCATGGCAGCACTGGGCAGGAGGAAGAGACCCTTCAGCCTCGCAATTGTACAGCAAGATTTGATTTTAGTAAGATTAGGCTTCATAGATGATAGGAAGGATTGTTGAAGTTTCATGGAAAGAAAGGAGAAATTGACAGTTACTCCAAAAAAAGGGTAATTTGAATTTGTTTTTGGTTTAAGCTAGCTTGTGATACCTCCCTATTTAGACACAGCATGTTAAAACCGGTGGACACATAACCTAAAGTAGGGTTGGTGACTTGTCCTTTTTTAAAAATTGTTACTATTTTAGAGAAGGGGGATCTCGCTGTGTTGCTTAGGCTGGTTTTGAACTCCTGGGCTCTTTCAATCCTCTTGCCTCAGCTTTCTGAGTAGCTAGGACTGTAGGCATGCTCCACTGTGCCCGGCTTGGTAACTTGTTTTTATAGGGCTTGTAGGATCCCCAGCCTCCTGAAGGACATTGATTACAAGCGGGAAGCAGAGTTAATTAAATAAATATAATGGATTTTACATATTGATTCTATTGCTGTGCCTATTGAAGGAAGTGGGGAGAGAGGTGTGCCCACAGGTACAGCTTTGCAAACCCATGGATTCCCATCCAGCAGACAGCTCTAATGAAGTTACATCTCCATCTTGTGACTTATAAAAGGCATTGCTGTAAAAGACTTAAAGATTTCTTGTGCTTTTGCAAATACAGTCTTCAGTATGAATGTTACCGCTTGACATTTGCCTTTTAGGTTGAATGAAATTTAAATGAATGCTGGCACTAATACGCATATTGATTGCAAGTTCCTCTCCTGTATTTTAAAATATGCTAAGAGTATTTAGAAATTGTATGTACGCTCCTGATCCCGCTCTTTCATTGATTCAGCAATATTTACTGAGTGCCTGCTATGCACCAGGTGTTGTGCTAGGAACTGTATCAAGGAGAACACCAGGTCCCTCCTTATGAGTCTTATGTTTTAAGAGGGGAAAGCTTCATAAATGAGCGTGTGTCAGGGGTTGGTGAAGCAGATACAGAGTAGGGTAATGAGCGAGAATCAGCTGGGTGAGGTACCGTCTTATGTAAGGGAGGATCAGAAAAGTCACCTAAAAGTAATATTTAGATGAAACCTTAGTGAAGTAAGGAGGACAACCTTTTGGATATCAGAGAATTCTGAGGCCTAAGGTGAAAGCATGCCTGGCATGTTCAAGAAATAGGCAGGAATGTTTTTGCAGCACAGCAAGGAGGGGCATGGCAGGAGAGGCGGGCGGTGGGCTTGTGGGAGGGGTGTCCCAGAGGGAGTGGATCAGGTCTGGCCTGTTGACCCACCGTCAGGGCATGGTGATGTGCCCTGCATGAGCAGCTTCTGAACAGAGGAGTGACTCGCTCTGACAACTGGGCTCACTCTGGCCCCTGAGTCCGGTAGTCTCCGGGGGCTACTACATATCAGGCTGGGTGGTGTGGCAGCAGTGGTCGTGATAAGAAGCCCTGAGATCCAGGCTGCACCTTGAAGGTAGAGAAAAGAGGATTTGCTCCTAGAATGGCTGTGGGTGAGGGTGGGTGAGGGCTGAGGAATGGGAAAAGCTAGGAGCTGAGATGCACCGAGATGGCCCCGAGGGGTTGGTAATGGAATGCTTGTTGAATAGTCCCTTAAGACTTTAATTGTATCAGACTTACAGAGTTAATGTAGCTGTTTTAAAATTTTAAAATGTTTAAATCTTACATGATTAGTAAAGAGAAACATCTCAAACATTTTTGAACGTTTAGACGTTAAAATCAGTTTTGAGAAGTCATATTGATACTGGTTTTTTACTATAAACCTATTTATGTGAGGAGTGGATAAGAGATCTGATTGACAAGGTTTTAAAATTCACCAAAAAGCCTGTGTGGAAGAAACACATAAGGAGATGAAAAGGATGGAACAGTCTATAGAATGTGGTGGTTTAACCACACTTTGTGAGATTGCCTTCACTGCCCTCGGCCTGGCCCAGGTGGTCTCAGGGCCTTGTCAGCCTGCAGCCCCATGGCTGCTGCTGCTTCTGTTCCTCCCTCAGCTCCTGCCCATCCTCTCTCTTCAGTCTCCATGGCCCTTTGGCGTCCTCTCTCCTTCCTCTCCTCTCTGCCTCTTCTTGGTGTCCTCCGCCCTTCCTACTCCTTACTCATGCCTCCCAGCCCCTCCCTAGCTGGGACTCTCCTCTCTCCCTTCTTTCATTTCTCTTGTGACCTTTCATTCCCTCTGGAATTTTAAAAATACACAGCCAAGGTCCTCTCTTCCTGCTGAAGAGAAAGCTGCTTTCCTTTCCTGCAGCGCCTGCTTGTATCAGGCACATGTGGATTGTCTCCCCATCACTGCTACAGGATTTGCAGCCGTTAGCTGAGAGGGGAGGCTTGCACATCAGAAAGAGCCCAGCTTTATTTTGAAAAACAAAACATGACTCCAAAGTGGTGAATATTTTGAGTATGGAATAATGATCCTTAACTGCATATATCCATATCTGTTTGAGGTCATTTTTATCATGTTTGCTTCTTGTTTTGAGAAATGTCTTGGCGGTCATCCAGCCCTTGCAGAGCCTAGGGATCAAATGGTTCCCTTATGTGTAGGAAGTGAAGCTTCACTTTGAAAACCTCAGCAGTGAAGAAGAGAGTGACTGAATAATTGAGAGGTTGAAGGAAGCTTCTGATGAATGGATCCAAATCAAATCTTTGAAGAGATTTATGTGGCAACAAGGCAGTCCCCTCTTTACCCTCGCCTGGCTTTGGCTGTGAAAAAACACCTGCTGTGTTCATGTGGCCTCCTTCTGCTGAATTTACCACTTTTCTCACCTCAGGAATCACAGGAATAAGCAAAACAAATGTGTCCTGGCTAACATAAGTCCATGGGCCTACCTTCCTGCCTTTTTCCTCCCAGTTTTCTGTATACTTGGAACATTTTAGTTATTTTTATTATTATTATTGTATTGTTTTTTTTTGTTTTGTTTTTGAGACAGAGTTTCACTCTTGTTGCCCAGGCCAGAGTGCAATGGCACGATCGTGGCTCAGCACAACCTCTGCCTTCCAAGTTCAAGCGATTCTCCTGCCTCAGCCTCCCTAGTAGCTGGGATTACAGGCATATGCCACCATACCTGGCCAATTTTTGTATTTTCAGTAGAGACTAGGTTTCTCCATGTTGGTCAGGCTGGTCTCAAACTCCCAACCTCAGGTGATCCAGCTGCCTCAGCCTCTCAAAGTGCTGGGATTACAAGTGTGAGCCACTGCACCTGGCTTATCATTACTATTTTTTTTAAGAAATGGGGATCTTGCTATGTTTCCCAGGCTGGACTCAAACTCTTGGGCTCAAGTGATCCTCACACATCAGCCTCTGAGCAGCTGGGATTACAGGCAAGCCATAATGGCTGGCTAGTTATTAAACTTTGTTGCCCCTGGCATATTAATTTGTTCTAACTGTCTAGTGTCTGATCTAACTACAAGAGTCTTGATGAACGTGTTTCCCTTGGCATTTATATGAAGACTTTGAAGCAGCTGCTCTGTGAGAGGGTTGGTGAAATAAGCACCTGAAGGTATGAGTTCCCTGCTGTGCAGCGGGGAGGATGGGCCCTTGGACCTCCTGGGCCTGGCAGACCTGCTGCTCCATGAAGAAACTAACCTCTCTTATGTCAGTGCAGACCCTACTCGTCCTTCAGGCTCAGCTTGGTTCCCGGCCCATCCCGTGGTTAGTGCTCCCTCTTCACGCTGTGTCTCCTATGCACCTCACTCACTGGCAGTTCATCCTCTGCCTTCTGGTGCTGACTTCTGATCCCCAGCTGTTCGTTCCTTGCGGTCTTATTTCTGAGTTGATTGTCCTCCTAGTTTGTAAACTTATTAAGGTTGAGGACTTAATGATGAAGATAATTTCTCTCCATATGAGGGGCTTGAAGAATCTTGATGACTCTTTGTTCAAGGTAATCCTTTTAAAACATTCTTCACTATAATTGTCTTCGATCCAGGGTTTTAAACTTGTAATAGTTAATAATTATGAATCAGCACATTAAAGAGAAAAACTTTTACATGCCTCAGAAACCAACCTTTAAAATTTTACCTTTGGATCCTGGTCAACACAGCAAGACCTTGTTTCTACAAAAAATTAAAAATATAATAAAATGGCTGAACATCATGCTATGTGCCTGTAGTCTCAGCTACTCAAGAGGCTGAGGTTGGAGATTCGCTTGAGTCCAGGAGTTCAAGGCTGCAGTAAGCCGTGATCATGGCACTGCACTCCTGCCTGGACAACAAAGTGAGACTGTCTCCAAAAAAAAAGTTTTACATTTTACTTTTGGAAAAAGCTCCCACATTAAACTCTTTCTTATCCACCCCCCTCCCCCGCCAATACCCAACCTCTTCTTCCTAGGTCTTTCAGATAATCATAAATTTTGAAGATCTTAGACCTCAGAATCACACAATGGGAGGCCTTTCATCTCAAACTCTCAGTTTATTTCTCTGACAGTGTTCCTAATTGAAGTTGCTTTGGGGCTGAGATACTTTAAATCTTGAACTGAAGTAAAAATATGCCAATTTCTGTCAAATTCTATACCATATACTGCAAATGAATTCTGCTTTTGCTGAGTGGCTGTGAGAAATATCTTGGTAGCTAGCCTGGGTCGTGTCTTTCAGGCTAAGTAAACTTGGTCATATCAGAGAAGCATTTTGGAAGAAATGCTAGGTCAGTTTCTGAAGCTTTAAATACCAAGGGATGGGCAAGGATGATGGAGCCAAAGTAAATAGCTACCTTCTGCCTCTGAGAGTTACATTGATGGTTAACCAATTTCACATATATTATGCTAAAAATACAGTTCCTTTTCAGGAAGTCATTCAGATTGGTAGAATTTAGGAAGATAAAAAGGAGGAAATACAGATTAAA